CAAATGAATTTAATTTTAAGTATTAAAGAATGAAGAAAAATGCTTATTTAAATTTCAAGTACTTTTTATTTTAATAATTTTTTTTAAAGATGGAAAAATTGTTTCAAATTAAATATTTCCTTGTTGATATTTTGACCTTAGTTTTTGATAAAATAAATGAGATCAGAATTCGATTCGACAGTGTCTGACTATAAGCAGTATTAACTCCTCGTAGTAGAAGATCCACACGGGTGGAAGGGATGTCTTACTAAAATCGATCTGAACTACTGCGGATACGAATTCTTTTGTTTATGAAAATAGTTGCAGTAGTACAGGACTGTTTTAGGAAGACCGTAACTTAATTTTAATTAGTGAGAATTCGGAAACTAATAATTTTATTTTTTTAAAGCTTTGAAAAAATAATTTCAATTTGCAATTGTTAACCTTTGAATTCAAAAGTCATTAATGCTTCTATTTATAGTAGTTGCAAATAAACTACTTTTATTCCTCGCATAAATAATTCTCCCAGATAAATAAAATTCCACTTGAAATTAATCCCAAGTTATTGAATGTAAATCCAGAATATATAAAATAAAATAATAATGATGATTAGAAAGTTTCACTAAAGCATTTGCTTTAAAGTTTCATTTTAAATTATTTATTAAAGATTGATAAAAAAAAAGTTTATAATAATTATTTATACATTGAATAATTTGTAACATTCACAACGAAAAATGTTTATTATTTATAAAAAATTTATAATCAAATATAAGGAGAATATATTAAAAAATTTTGTTGACATTTAATTAATGTAGTTTTGATGTTAGGAAAATACAGTTAAATATTATTTCACTTTTGAGAGAAAATTATTTTATAAATATTGGATACATGCTTTTGAACTCTTTTTTTTGAATGTGCTCTCCATAACATAATGAGTATAATAATTACTCTGCTTTAATTTCGATATCGTATAAACTGAGTTGACAAAAAAATATATATACATATATACTCTCAGCTGATTAAAATATTGTAAGTTAATAGAACTTTCAAGAGAAGGTAATTACTATTTTTATCCAAGACAGAATTTTCCATTTTGATGTTTAATCATCTCTGTTGGCTCACAATATTATTCGATTACACCCGAGAGAGTGATAAGAACGATGGATCTTTCCTGCAATGAACTTTAATCTATAATTATATTTCAAGGCTGAAAGGTGAAGGATAATGACTAATGATCAATTTTTTCTCATTACCAAATTTCGTTCATTATTATTGTTTCAATTTTTCTTTCTTTTTGTTTTGTTGTTTTCCATTAGACATTTATATATCGATGAATATTGTATAGGTTCGAAGTTCAACAAATTTTCTCCTCGTTTTCGTTTAGGATAACAAAAAAAAAAACGTTTTTAACGAAGGAACCAAAAAAGCATAAAATAAAAAACTTCACCTTCACTTCATTGTCACTCTACTTTCACTTCACTTTCACTTCTCTTTCACTTTATGCAGTGAAAGTAGAGTGAAAATAAAGTGAAGGTGAAGTGAAGTGAAAATGGAGTAAAAATGGAGTGAAAATGAAGTGAAGGTGAAGTGAAGGTGAAAGAATAAAACATTTTTGAAAAATATTTTCTTATATTAATAATAATAATATTAATATTCGGTATTAAATAATTTTAAATATACGAATCTAGATTCAATATGAAAAATATTAAAATAAGAGGTCACGTTATTCAAATTTATTTTTTATTGTGAAAAAAATTCCATTTTTTTTTTTTTTTTTTTTTGATTTTACAATGAAAATTTCTTTTGATGAGATTCGTATTGTACCCCCTGGTGTGTGATTCACGTGTAGTGAATTTGCCCTGGACCGATACAAGTTGTCGGTAGGTCAAGGTCGGGGTCAGGGTCTACAGAGTTTGACTCCTGCCGTGCAACACGTTGTTTTAAATGTAAGAAACCTGTCCGTTTTCTCATTAAAATTGATGTTTGTTTTTCTATATCACTTTCAATCTCATATTCTATCAAAATGCATTTCTCTTGCTTTTCTAAGTGACAGTGTATGTGTGTGTGTATGTGTCTTTGTAAAACTTTTCAATAAATAATTAACTATATTCCCGTCATCACATTGAAGAAATAAAAATTATTTCATTCAACTCAGTTATATATAATTGTTAAGTAAATATTTATTCGAATCAAAATTTTTTTTTGAGACGCATGAATAATTAAAATTAATTTGTTAGAATTTCATTGGATGGAATTTAATTAGAATTTTTTTTTATAGACAAATTTTTATTTGTTTGAATTATTTTTTTTAGAATTTATACAATAAATAATACTTGTAATAAATATCAGTCGATATCGTTAATACATTAAGTATGAAAAATATGGATATTTAAATATCAAATATATATACATATAATCGTAAACTATATTATTTATCGTCTCGAGAATATTTCTTTATAAAATTCACGTCAATATTTTAGTAGAGAAATTTTTTTTTTCCTCCTCTATATAGGAAATTGGTTTTTATGCGGCGGTTTTAAGCATTTCCTTGTTTCATTAAATTTAATATTTAGCCATTTGCCAAGTTTTCTAATAACCAACTGAAGAAAATTAAAATTCTCTTTCGTGACATACTATCTGATACGAGATCTAATATTTTATATCCAGGCATTATAAAAGTTTGTTTGAGAGAAATGCTCTATTTATATCTTTGAATTGTTAGATTATTGATTAAATGTTAACTATTTTTTTTTTTATATTTTAATGACAAAATTATTTGTAAATATAAAATTCTCAAGTTTAATATATTAAACAATTTTTTTTTCTAAATAAAAAAATAAAATAAAAACAAAAATACAATTGTATAGACTTAATAAATAATAAATAATGAGGACGTAAATAATATAATATAGAAATAACTTATTTAATCGTAGCTAACGTGATTTACGAAAGAAAATAATCATAATTAATTGGTCTAACAATATCTGGGGGGATTACAGTCGTTTCATATTAAGCGTATATATTTATATATATAGTTCAGTATTTGCTTTGCAAACAAGTAAAATTGTTATATTATAAGATGAAGGTCAATTTATCAAAATTAACCGAAAATAATAATCAGGCAAAGTGCCCAACTTTGGATAATCCAATATCATTATATGAATTAACAGATAATATATTAATTCGATAAAAGGGAAGTTCCAAGCAGCTGATATCGCACTTGGCATTACTATATATTTTTTATATAAAATATTGTAGCCAATGAATTAATAATATTTAAATTTTAAATTTTAATGAAGATATAAAAAAATAAACTTTTATAGAGTAAAGAATCTTATATGAATTTCGTCTATTTGCTTCCAAAATGTGGATAACGCATATTTGATGAGAACTAGTACAGAATAGATGATAATTTGTTTTCCTTGAACAAAGCTCGATTTTCCTAATTAAACTTCTCAGGTTACTGAGAGCGCGCACCACCATTCGTTGTTGCATACTGAATAGTTTTAGTTCTGCCCAATTATATATATATACGTCTATATTTGCATTCTCAAATTATTCTAGATAGTATTTTAATTTTTTTTAAATAAAGTCAAGTTAATTTTTTGAATAAAATTATTATAATATTATTTTATAAAAAGTTATTCGAAGAGAAGAGATTTTTAAACTAATTTATTAATAATAATATTAATATTAATATTAATAATTAATTAATTTATTTATTTATAAATATAAAATAAATAAATTCAAATAATTAATAATGAAAAAAATTTTTTATTGGGAAAAAATACCACTTTAACTTTTATAATCTTCTTTATAAGTGACTGCGCATTATTAAGCTTATTTTAATTCTTCTTGACAGATTTCGAATAATTCCTGCGGAAAAAAAAATTTCTATTTTAAATCACAAGTCTGTTTTCTTTTATTATAACTTTCGATATATTTTATTATTACACGTACAACTCAATAATAATTCCTTTTTGTTGTCAATGAAAAGAAAAATCATTCGAACATTTTTATTTATTATTTATAGTCTGAATGCAATTGTATTTAAATAAAAACAAACAAACAATCAATTTTTTTTCAATTGTTAAATAAATTTTATTATATTTGTCTTGACTCAAAGAATTATGAATATAGCGTTTAATGTAATGAGCGCTGCTTTATATTTATTATTCAAAAGCTTTAGCGATAAAAACGGGATTATAAAACAAAATACATATAGCTTCATTGAATTATTTATAAAAAATAGAGAAGAATTAATATTGTGAAACGTGGATAAATATTTTATGCAAATGCATTTTTCAGTGGCGATTTAAAAAGTTACTGTATTTATAATAATATTTTTTACAAAAATAATTACATAGATATTTAAAAAATTAACATGAATGTAAAAAAATTTTTAAAATAAAAATACCGACACAGAAATCTACCTTACCGACTGATGGTAAATATTTTTAAAATAAAAATATAAAAAATTACCGACACAGATATCTACCTTACCGACCGATGGCCAAACAGTTTTTTGAAAACTAAAAATATAAAAAATTACCGACATAGAAATCTACTTTGCCGTCTGATAGTAATTTTTTACCATCAGTCGGTAGGGTAGATTTCTATGCCGGTAATTTTTTATATTTTTATTTTTCAAAAAACTTTTTGGCCATCGGTCGATAAGGTACATATCTGTGTCGGTAATTTTTTATATTTTTATTTTTTAAATATTTACCATCAGTCGGTAAGGTAGATTTCTGTGTCGGTATTTTTATATTTTTATTTTTCAAAATGTTTTCCTGTATTCTAACAATATTTTAGGCCAGTGTTCGAGCTTAGATATTTTTATTTTCGAACATATTATAATATTTTGGTTTTTAAAATGAAATTAGTAAATTTAAATTAATAAACAATACAGCATAAAATAAAAAAAATTTCCTATTTTATTTTTATCGACATTTTGAAAAATTTGTATATTCATTAATTTAATTTCAATAAGCATAGTAATAACTTTTAATTAAACTAACCTGTAAAATAGAAATAGGTTCTTGATATTCTGGACCAGAATATGGCGGGTACAATTGCTTAAAAGCCATCATAGCTTCGTTGCAAAATTTCAGTCCCATAACTTCCTCGTCTTCTCGACCGTATCGAAATGTTAATTTCACTTGACCATAAATCTGAAGAGCAAATTTAAATATATTTCAAATATATATTCGGTAAAAAATATTTCGAACAAATAAAAATTCAGCTAAAAGAAAATTCTATCAAATAAAAATTTTAACAAATTAATTTTAAGCATTAGTCATGCGTTTCTTTAAAAACAATTATTTGGCAAATAATTTTGAAAAAAAATTGACAAATTTTACATTTATACTTTTTTTTAAAAAACTATAATTATAAAATTAAATTTTTTTTAAATGAATTAAAAATGTTTTTTTTACATGTTTGCCTTTCAAGAAGTCACGGTCAAAGACAAGTACACCTCGTAGCGTGTCTATTATTCCTCCACTGACGAAAAGATCTCTGCTCTCCAAGCAAAGTATCAATTTATTGTTATGAGATTGCTTTTTATATGCCCTGTAACATTACAATTAAAACGTGATATTTTTAATTTTGGATTTCAATTATAATATAATTAAAACCAAATTATTATGTTTAAAAAATCTAATATGTTGAAAAATAATTTCTTCTACAGTAATTATTTATGACATCTAGTAGGAAAAATCCGCTATATTATTTTTATCAGTTAAAAATAAATAGTTTTGATTTCAAAATAGAGCAAATAAACTGCTTTATATTTTATGACATTCCAACTTTTTTTTTTTATATAAACGAAGCAATATATGAAATTGTGTTTTTTTTTAGAAAATAATGATTGTGGTTTTGATATTTAAAAAAAAAACTTTTTTAACGATACTCCGTGGGATTTCTATAATAATGTTGAATTTTCATAGACAATAAAAAAAAAAAAAAAAAAAGAATTCAATTTAGTGAACGCGGAGAGATTTGCGATTTCAGTTGTCATGTAAATTCCAATCAGAGAGATCACTGATGTGTAGACAGTTTTGCGGGAGTGGAAAAACATGAGAGTCTCTCATTTGTAATCGTTGAGAGTTATTTTCAAAGCTTAGTTCATGATAATTGGATGCTGTTCTGTTTTACTATATATCTATATATATATCAAATGCGATGACAAAAATTTTAATTTAAAGTCAGTAATAATTTTTTTTTTATTTCCGATGTTTGAAATCTTTCCAATAATTATTATCATCATTATTTTGAAAGTCAAAATTCTGTCGTTTTAAACCATTTTAATTTCCGTTTATATTTTAATCGATTTACTCTTCATTTCTATTTGTAGATCGCATTAAATTTTTTTTTTTAATAGAAAATATGATAATATAAATGAAATGAAAAATAAATATAACAAAAAGTATATTGTGTAAGTCTTGGAATCATTGGGGATCTACTGCGCATTGTTAGGATTAATAGAGGGATCTATTGCGCAGCCTCATTTCAATAGATGCGCAGTAGATCTCCGATTCTATGCAAATAGAGGGATCTATTGCGCAGCCTCATTTCAATAGATGCGCAGTAGATTTCCAATTCTATGCACAATAGAGGGATCTATTGCGCAGCCTCATTTCAATAGATGCGCAGTAGATCTCCAATTCTATGCACAATAGAGGGATCTATTGCGCAGCCTCATTTCAAAAGATGCGCAGTAGATCTCGGATTCTAAGCATGATTATTTAAACAAAACAAAAAATGAAAATATTTCTTTAAACTAAACTATAGTTTCTATATTTTTATATTTAAAATTAAAAAATTAATAAAAAATCAAAAAACAGTTCTTAAATAAAAATATGTTTTTTTCTTTAAAAGAATGTTTTGATTTTGTTATTGATTTTTTAATGGTTTTGTAAAATTAGTTCGTCAAAAATAAATTGTAGACAGTTGAAAAAAATTGTTTACATAACTTGTCAATTTTTGACGGATATGTTTATACACTAGATGAGAGGTACACTATTTATCAAGATAATTTTAGAATCGTGTCTCGTGGTCATTATACCCTGAAAGAACATCTCTAATTCAAGGTCATCCATGAAAGAGAGAGAGAGAGAGAAAGAAAGACCCAACCCCTTTTGGAGTTTATAGATTCAATTTATATGAATGGGTGCGTCTGATATTAAACACGCAATCTGTAATTTTAGCATCTTCTTTTACATCATTCTCTGTCATTGTCTATTCGTTAAATTGCTTATATTAACACATAAATTAATTAAATTTTCCCGTACTATTGTCATGTAACTTTTAAATCTACCTATACCTATATTTAACCCCCTTTAAATACAATATATAATATGTATCCGTAAATAATGAGGTTATATAATTATTAATGTAGCATAAAAGCTTTCTGCATATTATTATATAAAATTAAAGCTTTCTCCACAATGAAAAACAATTCATCAATATTCACCTCTTAATGGTAATTAAAATTATTTATTTATTAAACGTCTGCTTTTATGATTATTCAAATATGTATAGAGAATTTAATGCTAAAATTGATTATGAATATTAATGAAGGATTCGCTAATTGTTGTTCTGTATTTAAAGTGGTGTTTACAGTAAAATAATATAATAACAATGTTAATGATTATATATAGTGATGATAATATTAAATTCTAATGACATTTTTAATAAATATATATATGAATCCTTTTATGTTTATTCTTCATTGCTGTAGTATTTAAAAGAATATAAACCAAAAAAATTAATTCGTATTTTTGAACGTTCTAAAAGTATTAAAAAATTTATCTAATTTAGAAAAAAGTTAACCGAGTAGAAAAAAAACAATGGTACAAAAAGAGGATAAAATAATAAAAATTCAGTGAAAAAATAAATATAAGAAAAAGAAAATTGGTAAATATGCATTTTGTGTTTGAATTTGTGATAACAGCGTTAAAACGAATTGTTATGAGAAAGTGAATATTCATGAATGCTTTTCATTGAATTTTCAAGGGCCAAAATTTTTTTTTTATTTATTTACTCTGAGTGCGATCTCATGGTATCTACTTTTTTTTTTTTTTTGTTTGTTGTTTTGTATATGGAAAATCCAAGTTTGAAAACGTTACACTTTACTACATATTGGTTTTCATCGTTTAAAATAGAATTTCCACACATATTGCGTAGCCTAGAGTTGCGTTTAATTAAATTCTCAAATTGAGTTTATCCTGACTCGAGGCTACTTTGATTGAGAGGCATATTCAGGACAATTTTCAAAAAGATACTATCAGAATTAATTTACCTACATGTCAATGTAAAGTGTAAAGCATCTCAATTTAATACATACGCAATAATAATAATAATAATAATTTATGAATGAAGAAATTTATTTCCTCAAATAAGAATTTTTCTTTAATCTGTATATAAATAAAATTAAATTTCCTCTATAGAAATAATTCAATTGAAAAAAGCTTGACATTTTGAAGAGAAAAAGTTGTATGCATAAAAAAATTTTTGCAGAGAAGGTCAATACTTTTTTTAAAAAAAAAAAAAAACAATTTTTATTTTCTGAAAAAGTTTCAATTTTTTCAAAATCCATACAATTCATATTGTTCAAAAAGAATCTATAATGCCGGAAAAAGAATTGTCACATCTGAACAATACGTAATTTTCAATAGATTTGAAGTTTCACTCTCTCATCTCTCCCAAATGAAAATTCGAATAAATAAAATTTCGAGTAAATAAAAATTGTGATGAAACAAAATTTCGTGAAATAAAATTTTTAGATAAAAATAAAAATTCCCATGAATAGAAATTCGGTAAATTAGATTTCGGACAAATTAAAGTTTGGAAAACAATAAATTTAAGGGTAAATGATTTTTTCGGACAAATGAAATTTATAATCTATTAGTTATAAAAAAAAAATAGTAGATACTGGGTTAGAGTTTTATTTCTTATCGCAATTTTCTTTGGAATTTTATTTTAAAAAAAATTGTGACACTTGAATAAGTTGGTAATGTCTTTAATTTTTTTTTTTTTTTCATAAAACAAACGATAAGACTTAGTTTAGATATAAAATAAAGAAAGTTTAAAATTCTTTTGTAGTTGATATATATAGAGATATACATGGCTATAAATTAATTCTAAAGAATTTTCCCCCTATTTTACAGAGAGGGCTTTTTGTATTCTAGCTTGTTTACTTCTCGTCATTTGCCTCTATACTTGTGTTCTAACAAGATTACTTTGTAAGCACCAAGTAAAGTTTACCATGTGGCTTACCATTAAGACTAAAGGGAACTTTCGTATTGTTCAAACAGTAAAGAGGAAATTAGTTTTTAAAAACTTTATATTCCATGAGATTTTGCAACGAAAAATTTTTTTTTTCTCTTTACCTTGACTACTGAATTCAATGAAGATCAGGACTTAGTTCTTGGTGAGTTAATTAAATTTTTTTTTCTACTTTCAAAACTTCCTTTTTAAAGGCTTCTTAGAAAATCAAATTAAATTGAAGATCCACTCTTCTGAAAATTAATTTTGTTTACTTCAGTTTAAAAAAAAAAAAAAAATTAATTTTTTTCTTTTGCTCTTCATTTGTTATTTTCATTGTTAAAATATTTCTGAGATATTATTATTATTATTATTATTATTATTATTATTATTATTATTATTATTATTATTATTATTATTGTTATTATTATTATTGTTATATATTATAAATATATTTTTCCTTACCTTGTTAGACATTGATTGGTGCCTGGGATACAAATACCAGTTGTGGTTTCGATTTTTCTGTAACAAAAGAAAATTACTCTTTATTTAGTTTAGTTTTTCTTTTGTTTTTAATTTATTTAAATAATTTATTTATTTATTTGTTACAATGGTGAATCCCGGTTTGAGCCTTAATTTTCAAAATTCATCTTTTTTTATCGTTAATTAAAAATTTTTATTAAATAAAAAATTTTGAGGTTAAAAATTTTAAGAAATTTTGTAACTTTTTTTTTTTTTTTTTTGATAATATTGTATTGATATTTGCAAGTAATTTAGATTGACAATTTAGAGATTGACCTTTGATAATAATTACACTTGTGATTTACATGTCAATTTCGGTTTCAATGAGGTTAGTGTAGTTTAGCACCTTATTCAATTACAATGTAGTAATAAGCTATTGACAATTATTTGTTGAAATTTCGATATATTATTGACATAATTATAAAAAAGAAAGAAAATTAATCAGGATTACAATGTTATTTAATATATCTTTTAATTTATCGCTTTATTAAATTGAACACGTTACGTAAACTTGTAGTAAACATAGTTTATATTACGTTACGTGATTTATTCATTAAGTCGATAATTAAATAATAAAGTAAAAATCAATGAAGTAAAAAAACAATAAAGTAAAAAAAAAAAAAACAGGGGAAAAAAAGTAATAATGATTTCAATATTTTTTTTTTTTAATTAACTATTATTAATTAATTACTATTTTATAATAAAATAATACAAAATTATTTTGTACATAAATAAATGAATGAATAAATAAATTATTAATAATTAATAATTAATTAAATGAATATACTAATAATTATTAATTAAAGTACATGAAAAATTTGATTTCAAAAGCTTAATCGTAACATCGATTTAAATGCGTTTTCAAGTTCATTGACCGAAAAATGAGCAAACTTCACACCACTCATGTAAACTATTTTTGTTTCGCGCCAAAAACAAGTGTTGATGAGTCATAGAAGTACATATATACAAGAATTTAATGATTTTCGAAATATGAGAACTGAGAAAAATTTAAAAAAATTTTTTTTTTCTTTTTCGTTCTTTTGAAACCTTTCTAAAAATGATTTTTTTTTTTTTTAAATATAAAAATCGCTTGAGTGAAAAATAAAAATTTAGTGTTTGTTGATAAATATTTTCGAGACGCAGGAATGTCTAAAATTAATTTGTTATAATTTTTATTTAATAGAATTTCATTTAGATAGAATTTTTAATATTTTTAAATTTTCATAATAGTTTGATGATCATGGAAATTTTTTTTTTTCATTTTTTATTTTTATTAACATCGAGAAATTTGTGTTTATTACGGAATTAAAAATTGAAAATATTGTGAATGAACTAGAAACTAAACTATAAAATGTCAACAGGTCTGAAACGTTTTAAAAATATGTTTTATGAAGATTGGCATGCAACACATCTTCAATCTTATGGAAAGTGTAACGAGGACGTTGACGACTTAACTCATCAACATTATGTTTTTGAAAAAATAAAACTGACATGACATGAAGTTATTTTTTTCAACAAATGTTTTTTTTTCAAAAATATTACTTATAAATCAATTAAGTCAATGAAAAAAAATTAATCATGATTCATAATTAATTTATTATAATTTAATTAATTATTAATTATTTATTAATTATTTATTAATTATTAATTATTTAAAAATTAATTAGAAATATTTCTAAAATAATTTAATATGAAATTTTATTCTCGTAAATAATGTTTTTGAATCTATTGGAAAAAATATTTTTTAATTTAATTTTACATTTTTCGTTAATTAAAATAAATTTTTAATTACCTCGGACAAATATTTAATTAAAAAATTTTTTTTGCAAACTTTTTACAATGTTCTTTGAGTTAAATAATAATTTTTGCAACATTTTTATTCAACTTATTAGTATAACATTAATTAGTAATTATTATTAGAAAATTTTAATCAACAAACTTTTTGCTTTTATATATATTATCGTCATATTGCAATTTTTTATCTTTATTTTTTTTTTTATTTATTAGTAACGATTAAAAGAATGTTTAAAATAGTTTTTTAAAATTGAAATAAAATTTTTCAATCGTTTATTAGTAATTGCTTTTAATTTGATTTATTAAACCGCATTATTTGAAACTTGTTGAAATGGAATTATATTTATTTCTTTGGGGGAAAAGTTCAATTGATTTTTGTAAGGTTTTTCTTTTTTCTGGTATTTTTTTTTTTTAGTAATATTTTCTACACAAGTCAACACGGTTTATTACTAGTTTTAGTAGTCGTAAAAATTCCATCTTCGTGAAATGAAAATTGAAAATCGATAAAAATGCTGAAAATAGCTACACATGCACTTTCGCACCAAAATTAAATGCAAATTAAATTGCTCTTAATCTCCCAAGTAATGGAAAATATATATTTCTTAGAAATTTTCTCACAAAATTTTATACTTCGTCGCTGACAATTTTTCTGGATAAAATTTTAGACGCTTACAAAATTGTAAAAAAAAGTTTTATATAGTTTTATTTTATTTATTTTTATTTTTCTTGAAAAACAATTATAATTTTTTACTTAAAAATAAAAATACAATTTTTTTAAATAGAAATTTTGTTGTAAAAAAATTTTTTGAAAAAATTATTTGAAAAATGATAAAAAAAATGTAACATTTTTTTTTCTGTTACAAAATATATAAAATATTATTAGAATTCTTTCCCCTAATTTTATTTTCAGAAAATATTAAGTTCTACTCACACTCTTAATTTATTTGACTCTAGGGGGAGTTTTAGAATAGAATATATCTCATCAGAGAAACTTTAGTTTTATCAACATTATATAGACCTTGTATGGATAAAAAATATTTGATTACTTCTTTTCTATGGAGTTCTTAAGTATATCTTTAGGGAAGCCCCCTAGCTATAAGTTATATCAACATTACAGTGGCTTAACTTGAAACAGTGTAATACTTCAATATAATGTCGAAGAAAACAAGAGTGTTTAGAAATAAAATTTCATTTAAAAGAAAATAAATTTCAATTTTAAAAACCGTAAATTCATTTTTCAAATTAGGCAAACTGGACAAAAATTAGTTAAAATTTTTATTAAATTTTTATTTTGAAATTGACTTTTGAAAAAAAAATATTACTTTTGGCAAAATAATTTGTTAATTCTATCATTCGGTTATATTTTTCCACTAAAGAAACAATTTTATTGAAGCAGTAAAATAAGTTTGTTTAAAGACTTTGTATTTTATTGGACAGAGATTTTAATGTACGTAGTAAAACATTTTTATTCACAAAAAAAAAAATTATATACAAAAAATACAAAACAATGCAAAGAAAATTATTTGTGCTAAAAATATATAAATTATGAAAAAGAAAAGCATTTAAATGTCAAGTTTCTTGATGTGAATCAATTATTTAAAAGTTATTGTAACTTTGAAACAAGTGTACTTTGCATTTATCATTTTTATGAATAAAACATGAATGTTAGAAGTCGAAATATTAAATTGAATTCTGAACGAAAATTTCAAGATCTATGTAACTTAAAATGCAAAACGAGAAAAATGGGTCACTGTCTGCTTTAATCCTTTGAGAGGTACAACAATTTTTTTTATAGATAGGAAAACAATTTTTTTTCAGTACCTACTACTACAATATTATAAAAAAAACACTTGGTACAAATTTATTTATTTATTGAAATAAATCCAACAGATAAAATAAAAAAATGTTTTCTTTATTCCATGTAGAAGGATTTCCGAAAAGAATCCGGAAACCGCTTTCGGAATTTTTCCGGAAACATATTTTTTTAAAAAAATTTTTCTAAAAATAAAATAAGTCTTCGATCTTGTATTCAATTTGAAAATGGGATTATCTTCTTATTATACGTGTAGGCAGTCATTTACCTTTGCTAGTAGCTTAGGAAGCATATTAAGCTAAAAGCATCAGATGTGCTTGAAAAACGAGAAATAAGTACGTGTGTGTGTATGTGTTACGAAAGTGGAACTATATATATATAGTGAATGCACTTTATACCTAGAGGTAGTCGTAAATTTTCCACTTTTTGAATTTTACCCTCTTTAAAAAAAATAAGACGGAAAAATATTGAATAATGCTTAAAAATAAAATTTTACAATTTTTATTTGATAGAAATTTTCCTTTTGCCGAATTTTTATTTGTTCGAAATATTTTTTTAGACAGAATTTTAACAAATCAAAATTTTACTACATAATTTCTAATTGTGGTTAATTTTAAAATTCGTCAAAAGTTGATAGAATTTATAAAACACTGAATTTGTCCGAAATATGCAAATGTCCGAACAAACAATGGATAGAAAACTTTTGGTGCGCCGAAATTATTCTGTCGATTGTTTGTTCGGACATTTTCAAATTTCGGATAAATTCGACGTTTTTATGAATTCTATTAAACAAAAATTTGTGTAAATAAAAATTAGAACAAATAATAGTTTTTATTATATTTAAGTTATATGCGAGCATTGAAATGTGACTTTAATTTTGAAAAGTACTAAAATGCCCTGTGGAGTAAAATTTTAATTGAAATATATTTTAGTTATTGAAAGTTACGATTCTATGTGATGTATATAATCTATAAATGTAGTTTAGTATGTACATGTGGGTTATGTTCAGATTTGTGGAGTCGTAAATTATGGTCAAGTTTCAGCGACAGTTTCCCCCAGTTCCAATCAAGAACATTCGGTACTAAACTCTCTAAAATTTCATTCATCAAAAGACTCTTAGCATATATTAAAAGTTTTCTCTTTTATACCAATTTAATCTTTAGAGAAAATATTTTTTAATAGAGAAAATTTTGTTTTATTTAATAAAAAATATGAAAAAGTATTTTAAATTATTAAATTCTTTCATTTTATTAGGAAAATATTTTTCTTTATAATATTTTTAAAAAAGAATTTTTAATAATATATTTTTACGTCCAAGGTTTAATATTATTTTAAAAATTCATTTTATTAATTTTTTTTAAATTCAATTTAAGAGAGAGAAAGAGAGTATTTAACTAATTAATTCTAGAATTGTTGAGTCTCATTTATTTGAGTAAGAAATGATAGATTCTTTTTATTGTTTTGATAAAAACCATTTTCTTGTAATTGAATCTGTAAAAATAGTTTGTTTTAATCTGGAAAATCCGTTGAAAGTTTTCTTTTTTCTCTTAAAGGATTTTCAGGCCAGCGCAATCTTTTTATATTTAGTGTTCTTAAGTTTTTTTACGATCTTTTGTAATCGTACTTAATCCGATGTTATCCGTTTTATGCTTCGAATGCTTCAAGAAATAAATCCACTTGACTGATGTTGAATTGCTTATTATCTTTGACAGAATAATTTATTTCTGAAAGATCCATTATATTTTTTTAGAATATTATAATTATTTTCATATATCATAGATTTTATTTATTTACGGACATTGAATTGAAAATATTTGTCTTTTATAAATATTTATATTTATTTTGAAATAGAAAAGGTAAAGGATGCATTTCCAGGAGATAATGCACATTAGAACATCTCTATATATATGTATCCTGGAGACAACTTGTATATAGACTTTCCCCTGAAGGGTAGATTAGATCGAAGCTAAGACACGTTCAATTTCCTTTAAGTGGTAACTAGTTTCAATTTCCACGACCCAAGAGGAAGACTACTCAGCTAGGTGTAAATTAATTAGCTGACTTAATTAGGCAGTCGATGTATTCCCCTGGACAAGAAAGGCTTGAGTCGTCAAAGCAAATGTGGAGAGGACGTTGGGTTTATCACTTACGCCTTCCATCACTGATAGAGGTACATGCACCCACCTACATGGCTTCCCTTTCACTATTTTCTATCTATATATCAACTGGAAAATATCTCACTTTATCGCCCCTTGGTTTTCTTAGTCGAAAATCTAATAAATTCTTACTAGGGGACAAAAAAAATTGTTTCATTACGTAAAAGTGAAAAAGATTTACATTTCATTAATTTAATGTGACACTGTAGATGTTTTTAGAGAAAGCATTTTTACGATTAAAAAATCTGGGATCAGAACCTTTTTCTGGTTTTTGATTCTAAATTCCATTAAGGTTTTTTTTTTGATTTCGTTTTGATATTCAGGCATCATCGGATTGTTTCAACTGAGCGTCTTCATCAAAGCGGTACTTAGCCAGAAGTGTACGATCCTCCGCACCCATTTTACTCTTTTTTTACGACATGCAGTAGGCTACAAGCGCTCTATTCTGAAGCCGGAATCCCTAAAGCGATCTGATCAGCTAAAAGTGTTTTTGAATTTTGTTTTGATTCAGATTCGAGTATGATAAAAGCCTCCCCCTGGGGATCTCAAGACCTTGTCGTTGGTGGGGGAGCTTACGAACCTAGTCGAGCAACGACTTTAATCCTCCGAAGCTTTTTAAAAAAGTTCTTCGGCGATGATGTGAATTATAGAAGCTCAACAGCAATGTTCAGCGACTATTTGAAGCTGAAGAGTCGGCGCTCGGTTAGGTTCCAACTAAGAAGAGATCCATCCTGTCTCTCTCTGGCAAGGAGAAGCAGGAGTATTAAGGACATAAGCCCCCAATCCAAGACGTGTCCACCGTGTCAATGGATGAATGACATCAGGGTCACCAAATCCGCTGTGTATTTTGGAAGGGTTCGCGTGGACGGAGGCCGAATTGTGGTAAATTTCAGTGAGGATCTCGTAAAGCTCGGGAAACGATTGTTAGTTACGGGTTCGACTTGATGAACATGCGGTCCTTTCGCGATGCTACAGAGGGAGATGTCGTAAACGGAGGTGCTGAAATACCGGGCGACCTTTCAGTGTAATTTTTAGCCTTACCCTCATAAACGGAGCTCTTTGGGGGTGGACCGCTTAATTCTCCGATACTCGTGGGATTAAAAAATGGAACAATTTGATAATATTAAAAACACTGACGACGATAGAAGGGAGATAGAATTAGTTCGGATTAGTGAGACTGAAGAAAATGTGTCTGCGACTTCAGAAAGTTCTACTGTATCTAAGGAAGCGATTTTACCTTTAAGGAAAATGCAACAGATCAGTTCGATTAAACGACCTAGTGGTGCTCAACGAAGACGAATGAAGAGAGAAAAAATAAAATTACTGTCACGTATGACTGAAGTATTAACAAAATCTGGCACTTCTCATCAATGTCCACCTTTACCTGTCATGCAAGTTCAGGTGGTGGCTCCGATAGAAAATATTTCGGCTCCAGGTTCAGAGTTTATTAAGCAGAAAGATGCTGTTTTGGAAACTGAAAGGATCAGCCCGGAAGACAACATTCCTGAACAGAGTAGAAAAGAAATAATTACAGTAGATTTGGAAACTGAAGAAGGCGAATTTTGTAAAAATAGGACCGAAGTTTATCAACCGATTGAAATAAAACTAGAACCGGAAACGTCTTTTCTTAGAGTAATTGAACGGAATAGTTTTAAGGGTGGCGGAATGACATATGTGGAACTTGATCAGCTTAGAGTAATAATAATGAATGAAATTCATAAGATTATAAGTGGTCCTCTTCCCAGATTTGGTTATGTTCGCCTTGTAGATGGAGTTATCAAAACGGATTGTCTTGATGAATTCACTCGTGACTGGCTGAGTTCTCAAATATCGAGGATTAGCCAATTGTTGGGTGGTCATTCTCTAAAAGTTACGGATCCTTCTCAACGTAAAAAGTACATTAGAGCTGGTACATGGATCTTTGGTCGTCCCGAAGAGCCAGAAACAATTTTGAGATTAATTAAAAATCAAAATCCAAATCTTGATGTTTCTTCCTGGGAAGTGATTCATTCGGACAAAAAGAATGAGACATTGGGAGATCAAAAAGGATATAAACTTGAATTGGCCATTCCAGAGGAATCTGTTGTTAATGTTGAGACACTTGGTTATAAGATTTGCTTCGGATTTGGTCAAATTAGTTTAAAATTAATGGGATCAATTTACCACGGAGTAAAAATAGAGTGATAAATTTAATTTTAGTTTATTGGGTACAAAAAAGTGGATATTTATTATTTTACAGTTTCGATAATCATTAGGTTGTTAAATTTTTTTTCCGAAGGTGATTGTGAACAAATTTATGAAGAATTGGTGATTTTTAGAAGTGCTATTTTTACCTCAGAACCACTTTCTAGAATGTTTGTTTAAAGTGACAAAGTGTTAAGAAGAGAAACTTTAAAAAAATGGAAGTGAATACCTGAAGAAAATTAGAACAACTAATTTGGAGTAATGGAGGAGGATATTTCGAAGGAATAACATCGGACAATTTGGAGGATTTTTCAAAAATGTTTATAAAGGTAAGAGTTTTTTTTTAATCCGTTAATATTCGGAGGTTTTTGGGATCGCTGCTTACGAATCTGACATTATATTTTTAAAATTCAAAATGGCGGACTCAAAATGGCGACCAAAAATATTTGAAAATTGATAAATCTTTATGAAACTTTTGTTACTCGGGGGTTTTCGGGGTCGCTGATTACGAATCTGACATTGGATTTTGAAAATTCAAAATGGCGGATCCAATATGGCGGTGAAAATTTTTAAAAATCGTTTGGATTTGCTTGAAATTTGTTACTCGAGGGTTTTCGGGGTCGCTGATTACGAATCTGACATTAGATTTTGAAAATTCGAAATTGCTGATCTAATATAACGAATAAAAATATCAAAATTTGATCTGATTGTTATAAAATTTATTATACGGGCATTTTTATGCTTCATGATCATTCAATTTGAATGGGAGGAAAAATTTTACGGAATATTTTTTTTGAGAATAACTAGAACTGGAATAGACAGACGATTAGTGAAATTTTTTTTTTTTTTTTATGAAAACTAATTGAAAAAAGGCCTTATCTAAAAATGAATCTGTCTGATCTCGCTTAATCTTTTTTCACTCGTCTTAAGAAAGCATTTTTAAAAGAAATTCGTTTCTCGGGTTCAGCAGTGGATTCTCACTGATTAAATGCACTCAACTGAAAGTCCGTTATATATATAATTCTGATATTCGAAATTATCTAATTTGAAAAGTCCTATGGGAAATGACTATGGGACACATAACTAGAATTCCATTTTATAGAAATTGACTTTTAATGAAATTCAAGTTAACATACAATACAGTAATAAACTTTTTTTTTAAATTATTATTCTATTGTGTAATTATAAAGTTTATTAAAATAATTTAATAATTTATAAATTAATAATTCTAAAAAAATCAATAACTAAATAAATAAATATATAGTACGAAATTGTTTAAAATAATAAAATATGCTTCTTTTTTATATTGTCAATTTAATTTAAAAAGAATGGAGATCAATTTTACAGATATTAAAATATTGGATATTGTATTTTATTTTTTTTGGAGGTGAAAAGTGTCATGCAAAATGTATAAAAAAGACAATGTGACAATATTTTTTTAAAGCTAAAAATCAGGCTGGATCAAATTCATATATGTGTATAGACAACTCCCCTTTATTTGAAAGCTTTATATATATATCGTTGATTCTTTTTTGTGTGCTGACTAAAAGAATTGGAATAGATAGAGATCTATTTCGTGTAACCTTTTGATAAGGGTGTCAAAAAAAAAGTTTCAAGAAAGAAAGAAAAAAAAAAGGATTTTTATCCTGACACATATTTTTCCGCTTAGTTGGTTTTCTAACATTGAAAAGATTGAGAGGCTTTTGCTCTGATGTCGATTCTAGAAAAGAAACTTTTATCCTGGCTTCCCTACTATTTCCCTAGTGACAAATATTTATAGAAATTCTGTTGCAAAAGCTAGTTTCTATTTCTAGATTCTCTTTATTCTATTTCTCGATCCATATTTATTTTATTTTTTTTTTAAACGAGGAAGTTTTTTTACTATACCGACTTAAAAAAATTAAAAATATATTTTTTTTAATTTTTGAAATTTAAATTTTTTATTTATCAAAAATTTTAAATAAAAAAATCTGAATAATTTTAATTTAATAAAAAGACATTTCTACTTAGTTAATTATAAATGTAAAAATATGTGTAGAAAAAAATTCCAGCTAAAAAATTCCCAACTTTGGAATATAAGAGAAAAAAAAGAGATATATGGGTTAGTCACGTAACTATTCTTCAGGGCAGAATTACTTCCTAGTAAAGTGAGAAGTTTCCTAACAAAAATAAGTATTCCTCTATCTTCCTGACGTTCGTGATAATAAATATTGTACTTAGAAGATAGTTCTTAATGTTTGATGAAAGAAAGATAAATTCCAAGCTTTTATCTTTTAATCCTTTTCTACTGGTCTATATAAATTCCATGAAGTGAGCTTTCTCTATTTATCAAATTGTACTTCCTCTAAGTAAAATTGAAAATTAAGTTGTTTGTCACTCATTATTATAATGTGTTTTGTAATTACTCTGGAAATAGTAAATTTATCTCCAATAAAAAGGAATAAATTAATTTTATTGTTAAATAAAATCCTATCCTAACCTATCCTTTTTCTATCCTACCTTATCCGATTCTTATCATATTATTTCCTATCCTATCCTATCCTATCCTATCCTATCCTATCCTATCCTATCCTATCCTATCCTATCCTATCCTATCCTATCCTATCCTATCCTATCCTATCCTATCCTATCCTATCCTATCCTATCCTATCCTATCCTATCCTATCCTATCCTATCCTATCCTATCCTATCGTTCTTTATCCGATTACTATCCTATCATTTTCTATCCTATCCTATACGATAGTCTTTAATATTTTACTAAATTTAAAAAAATCCATTTATTATTTTATGATAGTAAAATTGACCCTATGAAATGGTTCCCATTTTAGCGCTGCTGTAGTATTTTTATAGTTTCCCATTGTGAGAGTATAAAAGTTTTAAAATAAAAGGTTTTTTTTTATATATTATTTATTGAAACTATCTGCAACAATAAAAATTTAGTAACGCCCTTATGTCACCTTCACCTTGCAGTGAATTGTTGGCTATTAAACAATCGTAAACATGCCAATATCCTGAACAGATGTGACGAGACATTTATTAGTTTTTGGAATAATTTAAGAGTTAAAGTACTGTCCATATATTTGTTTTCACTGTAAAAACATTAACAAAAATATGTTATTTTTTTTTCAAATACGGAATTTTATTTTCAAAAATATTTTGTAAAATTGAATTCTGATGTAGTGAATAAAAAAAATAATATAGGTACTCGATTTTTATATATGAGTAGGGTATTCTTTTAATTAATTAATTTAAAATTTATTATTTTTAATTAATTTTTAATTTTTTAGAACAAATTTTATTGACTATTTTTAGAAAATAATTAACAGTTGTTTGTTTTCTTTGTTTCAGGTGAGTCCAAATATTACTTCTCGATTACTACAAAAGTGAGTAGAATAGTTTTAAATGAAAATCATTTTTAACTTTGCAAGCCTTGAATTTAAAAACATTTTCAATGTTAAAAGACATTAATTGACTGAAAATTTGATTGCTTTATTTTTAAACTATATTTTGATTAAACCTACATTCAAGTGTGGATATTATTATCTATATATACACTGTTTTAGAATCCAATTTAATATTATATTACTTCTTTCACTGACAAAAAAAAAATTTTTTTTTTGTCAAAGTAGAAAAAAAAACAGAATTAAGAATTAAATTATTAGCTAAATGTGGGTAAAGAGAATTAAAAATTAACCTCAACTCATTGAAAAAATAATTGGAAAAAATATCCCCTTGAAAATTCTCTCTCATGTAATTTTAATGAAGTTCGCTACCATTCTCCTGTTCTTCTGTAAATTATAAATCATCTCTAATGTGAGATGAGTCCGAAATAATAAGATCCCCCTCCTCTTTTATACACATATATATACAGACACAAAATAATTAATTGCACAAAACACTTGAGGAGCTTCTCGTCTATTATTCTTGCGGCGAACGTAGACTTCGAATAAACCCCCCTTCACCCCCTAAATAGTTCGTCGCACCTTATATCAAATATTTATCCTGAAACATCCCATTTTCTTTTTTTGGACACTTTCCCTCAATTCCCGTAAGGTCTATAAACAATGGCAAATGTACACAAGAAAGATACAGTTCGTAACATCAATTTTCCAACAGGAAGAAAAAAAAAAACCTCCTTCCACCCCCAAATGACTATAGAGCATTGAGAGCCACTCGATGTTTCTACAGACTGTGTACGTTCAGAATAAAAAAAAATTCCTTGTATTTTTCAAGATAGAGTTCTTTTAATAGTCTATAAATATATAAATTTTTAACAATTGTTTTCAATTTCCAATGCGAGAGTAATGTTTGACTTTAATTTTGAATTCAAAAGTATTTTTGTTTACAATTTAAGAAGCAATTAATGAAAATTAAATTTACTGAACGAATTTTATTTAATTAAATTTTTTTTTCAATGAAAAAGTTTCCTTTGTTTTTTTATGTTAGAATTATATAAATTAAATACAAGTTTAAAAATTTTTTCATTAACTTTTATAGCTTTATTTAAAATTCAAATATTCAGAAAGATATTATTATTTTAACATTTCAAGCAAATCCAAACGATTTTTAAAAATTTTGACCGCCATATTGGATCCGCCATTTTGAATTTTGAAAATCCAATGTCAGATTCGTAATCAGCGACCCCGAAAACCCCCGGAAAACTAGTTTCAAGCAAATCCAAACTATTTTTAAAATTTTGACCGCCATATTGGATCCGCCATTTTGAATTTTCAAAATCTAATGTCAGATTTGTAATCAGCGACTCCGAAAACCCCAGAGTAACAAGTTTCAAGCAAGTTCAAACGATTTTTAAATTTTGACCGCCATATTGGATCCGCCATTTTGAATTTTGAAAATCTAATCTCAAATTTTTATTGAATAAAAATTAATTTTATAAAAATATAGCTAAATAAACATTCTGCTGAATAAATATGATTATTTGAACATAAATGAAAATCGTTGCCATAGATGAAGGTCTGTTTCCAAATTAATATCTAAATTCTGCATTAATTAATAGCATAATTTGAAATTATTCAGTCACATAGCCCAAACTATTTTGTTAATTACCAACTATCTCAAAAGTGAATATTAACAATAATATAATTAGAAAAAAAAATTTTACTTTGAATATAATTTTTATTAATAATTTAAAATCCATAGCGTTATCGTGTCGTGTTCTTGAGAATGAAACATTATGTTTTACATTTTTTTTTGTTTTTGTCCAATTCGGTAATTAAGTATCAAAGCTAACAAATTTACTGTGTTGGTTTATTATACTTTCACATTATATCTAATAGCTTTTGTAATTAGCGATCGTAAACTAATATCGATTAAACGACATATGTTTAATAACATATAATTATTAGAATATGTTACAGTTAAAAATATTTTTGGTAAACAATAATATTACATTTAAAATAAATATTACATATTGTTGTAATTTTTTTTAGAATTACTTTTATTTGTAATATTTTTTTTTCTAAAAACAAAGAGAGATAAAAAATTTCATCTCTGATAAAATTTTTTAACTCTTTTGATTTAAATTAAAATATTTTCATTTTTGATCATTAAGAATTATTTAAATATTGATGAAAATAATTTCAATTAAAATATATATTATTTAAAAAGTAAAGTTCATAATTAAAAAGTTTTTAATCGAAATATTTTTAAGTGTAATATTTTTTTAATTAAAATGTTATTTAAAATATTGTCAATTAGAACATTTTTATTGATTATTATTAGTTAAATTTTTTTAAATTAAAAAAAATAGGTAGATGTATACTTTTTATGTATTTTACTTTGTTTATCAATTTATGGTTCAATAATATCAAAACAAGCTTTAGAGGTCGTTAATAAAAAATTATAATAAAAAAATTAAAACAACCACGAAATTAAATTTTGAAATTATAGGCGAACTTAACCTCAAAATTTATGAAATATAAGCAAATAAAAAAAGAAATAAAAAATTGAATTCCTAAAAAAAGTAAAAATTTAAAAGGATATGAAAAATAAAATATATAATAAGATATTGTAAAATTTTCAAAGGTGGGGGTTTGGGGTTGTGATTAGAAAATCTAAAGAAGTAGTAGTAAAAAAGTAATAAAACTAGGAAGATTTTTTTGCAAAAAGAAAAAATGCATAGGTTAAAGTAGCGATTGTTAAAGAGAAAGGGGGTTAATATGAGTGAAATGAAAAGAGAGAAAGAAAGAAAGAGAAATAAAATTTCGAACAAAGAAACGAAAGAGAAGGGATTAAATTAAAGAGTCAAAGGGTTCAAGTGGAGTGGGAGGATAAAATCCTGAAATAGTAGCGTCGTTGAAATCTTTTTATAATATACAGAGAGAATAATATATAAAATAAAAGTACATATATATAAATGACATTAAAAAAAAGTGTACTTATATACGACATCAATGAAAAAAACTACATTCGTGCAGAAATTTTGAACGCGCCTTGGCTAGATAGTTTCAACATAGTTACACTCTCTAGAAACTAGATAGTATAACTTCCAACATTTTTAAAATTTCTAAATAGTTTTTAAATAGTTTAATTGTGTAGAAACTAGATAGAATCTGTCTAGAAAACCTATTTTAAACCTATTCAAAATAATGTATAGATGTACTAGATAATATAATATAAATAATATATAAAAGCAATAGACAGTATTTCATATAAATTCTATTATAGTTTCTGTATAGATTATTTAGATAGGTCAGGGCAGTTATACTATCTAGCTTCTATATACTCGAACTATATGGAAAATGTCTAGTACATCTATAGATTATTTAGAAAAGTCAAGAAAGTTGTACTATCTATTTTCTATCTAGTTTCTAGATACTTGAACTATATGAAAACTAGCCAGTTTCTATACAGTTACTGTACAGTTACAGTATTTAGTTTCTATATAGTTACAGTACAGTTATACTATCTAGTTTCTACCTAGTTATGGTATAGTTGTACTAAATAGTTTTTAGATACTTGAACTACATGGAAACTACCTAGTTTCTAGATAGTATAACTATATAGAAACTATTTACCACTTTATATAATTTAGAAAGTTAAGTACAGTTTCTAGATACTTTCGATTGAAATATGGGCCCGACCAGATCCTGGTGTGGTCCCGGTTAGTTTCCCCGATACATCCAGACCAGGGCCAGATTAGCAACTTTCCTGAAGTATATACATAAGACATTTAAATAAATTTTGAAATCCTTACCGTTCTTTTGGTGATAGTTGTTTATCTTGATTTTTAGTCGACTGCTGAGTTTGATTATCTAATATATTAGTTCTTTCTATAACAGTTTGAACTGAAAGACTTGATGTTGCCGAGAAATTATCGTTCTCGGCCATATCGATTTTGATTATTTCAGCCTGGCCACAAAGGCCCAGGAAGCAATAGACAATCACACACACAATTTGATTATCGTTAACACACCGCACAGTATATATATATACATATATATATAAACACTTTTAAATTAACACCAAAACACTATTTCTAAATTGTTTACACCAAATTTGTTTCCTATTCTCACGTATAATAATGGAACATTTTTCTTTTTTCATGGCAATCAGTAGAGTTTCTCGTATACTAGGAAAACTGTTTATGTGGCATGATTCTTTTTCCCTCTTTTAATTCAACATTTATTTTATTTTATTTTTTTCCTCGCCTAAAGCTAAGAGAAGAGATTTTCGATTAGACCCTTATATAGGTTTTTTAGAGTTATTGGATCCTACATTTGTGATGATAATTCCCTGAATTGTGAGGGTGATTTTTTTTCTTTTTGTTTTATCAAAAGAATGTGTAGAGTTTTAGTGTTCAGTACTCGTGATTTTTGATAAGTACATCGAAATAAATTGTTTGGGATTTTCAAGCGTATAGAGGTGCTTCATAAATTTCAGGTGATTTACACTCTAAAATAACAGAAACGTTTTTTCTCATTACACTAGAGTCTCCGAAGAGAGGACAGGAAGAGTCTTGGACCTCTCTACGGAATTCGTCCTTGACGCCGAAAATTGTAAACACTCCAGGGCCGTATATCGTATCACAGAGATGTGTTTTTTTAACAGAATACATTCTATTACATATGTAAAATACTACGCGAGGAAGGTACACTAAAAACAAACGCTCCTGAGTTCACGTTCCTCTTTCTGATCCCGCCCATCTCTTCCCCCCTCATTTCTTACCGCGCCGCGTCATTACTTAGTCCTCTCTTCAGAAGTCCTCTCTTGGGAGACTCCAGTGTAGTTGAAAAGCATTCTTTATTTTTTTTTTAATTCTTACATTTCAAGTTTTTTAATGTTTCAAAAACTTTTGCTAATTTTCCACATGTATTTTAAGATATATTTTTGAAGTCTTACAAATTGCAAAAATTATCCTTAAAATGTCTTGTATAGTTTCAAAAAAAATATTTAACCTCAAGAAATTTTTATATAAAATTTAAAATATATGAAGTTATATTCATGTTTTTCCCTTGAAAAGACATTCTCGAAGGTTTTTTTAAGTCAATATAGAAAACTAGAGAAGTGAAACGATCGGCTTTCAGTGACCTGCAGAAAAGAAGACGTCTAGAAATTCTTGTTAAAAATGTAGTGTCGAGATGGAAAATAGAGTGTATTGCGAATGAAGAGAGGGGGTCGAGTGAGGGAGAATGGTGGCAAATAATACTCTCGATACTTGGGGTGAAAATGTAGTGGAACATCGATATTAAAATCACAACCCTTGAAAATAACTGAGCCATTTTACCCGATACAAGTCAAGTAAAATCTTATTTATTATATTAAAAAAAATATGTTATAGTAATGCAGAAAATAAAAAAATTTATTATTTAATTAATTATGAAAACTATCTAGTTTCTATCTAGTGCATCTAGATTATTTATCTACTTAGCTTTTAAATAGTATAACTATATAGAAACTATATAGCAACTACCTAGTTTCTAGACAGTATAACTAATATGTAAACTATCAAGTTTTTAAATAGTATAACTATATAGAAACTATATAGGAACTACCTAGTTTCTATACAGTATAACTATATAGAATCTACCTAGTTAAAGATATTATAACTATGTAGAAACTGTTTAGTTTCTAGATAGTATAACTATATAGTAGCTGTCTAGTTTCTAGATAGTATAACTATTTAAAAACTATCTAGCGCATCTAGATTATTACAAAAGGACAGAATGAAAGAAAAGTGTCCACTTCTTTTTATTTATAACCAAATTTTGGACAGGAATATGTAAAATTCAAAATTAAAAAAAAATTTTACATATATATTTTTTAAACTGAAACATTATAATTTTCACTGAGCTTTAGCACTTTGGTATAGTTGTAGGAAAAGAAAAAGCTCTCTTGTAACAGAGTGGAGAGAATGAACGCTTTGAGAGCCTCTTTTCTTCGTTTAAAAGTAAAACTGGCGTGGAGAAAAGACGCAGTGGAAAAGATTCCAAGACATACGTTCCCCAGGGAATGTGAAATCACAGAGAGAAACTTTTTTCAAAATAAAAAAAAAACTGAATTCTGAAATCTAGTGGAAAATAATTCCATATAAGTTCTTTTTGTAAAATTTTATAAAAAATTTTTCTTATTAAACTATTTTCAAATTTTTTTTTTTATATTAAATTATTATATTTTTATATATTTATATTAAATTATTATATTATTTTATTTTAAATTATTAATTTTTTTGAATTTCCAAGAAATAATATTATATGTTCGTTATGGGTTAAATTAAGTGCTTTCCCTAAAGTGCAATAAATTGGAGACATAAATTCTAAAATTACATCGTGAATACGAAATGTAGTTTCGTTGTAGAGACTGTTAAATGATTTTTTTTTCTTGAATTTACAAGGACATAAGTTAATTGAATTTTGAGATTTAAAGTTTAAATGTTTGTAAATTATGCAAAAATAATTTTTATGATTACTTTATGTAAAAATTTAAATTTCTTGTATCGATTTTTTTTATATTTTATAATTTCCTTTTTTTTAAAGTTTTGTTAATTAATGAATTTTGTTTCATTTGTCAAAGTTTTGAAATTTTTATCCGTAGACGGAATTTCATAAATTGTAAATTTAGTTGACTTGGAGAAAAAGAATAAAAGAAATACGTTGATTTTCACTGTGAAAATGTATCCAATTAACAAAGCAGCAGAATTTCTAGTACATATATAGACTATTTCATTAAAGCTTTAAAGCTCGTTTAACGATTTTTGTTTTTATACGAAAAAAAAACATTTCCTTGCGGTTGAAATTTTACTTTTAATTGAGAACATTATTAATTTTTAAAAAAAATTTTTTTATAGTTGGAATTTTTACATTTTTTTTTCTCTATATTTCTCCTTCAAATTAATTATTTTAAATTATTGTTGTTTATTTATGTATTTATATATTTATTAAATTACTGCATTTCGTTTATTATATTTTTTTTCTCATAACACTAAATAATAAGGGAATAGTTAATTAAATTTTTTATTCTTATCAATATTGAAGAATTTAATTAATTTAAGATATTAACGTCCATTAGAAACAAAGCAATGGACTTGAAAAATCAATTACTTTTATATTTCCATACACTTAATTATCGAGTAATAAATTCACCAACTTTTTCTTATTTTTTTTCAATCATATAATAATTAAAAATTATTTTTTTATAATAATAATAATAATAATAATAATAATAATAATAATATAATAATAATAATATTATAATTCTCATAATTTTGTAAAAAAAAACTTTTTTTTTACAGAAAAAAAAAGTTATTTACCTATAGAAAATAAATGAAATTTTTTTTCGAATCTTGAATTTCGTAAATTCATTTTTTTTTTAAGGGGAAAAAAAGTTTTCTTACTTTGTTCTTATTATATTTTCCCATGAAGAATATACTCACTTTCCCCTTGGATATATTATAAGGAGGGTCCAGATATAAAAGTATTCTAAGAACGTCAATGGTGTTTAAACATAAAGACGTGATAAAAATCCAATGTTAATAAAATATATGTATACCTTTTTTTCATGAATTTAAAAAAAAAAAGTTCCAAAAAAAATTGATATAATAAATAAAAAATGAAAAAAAAAAATCTGGAAAATTAGAGTAGGCAATTTATAAAGGTCGTTGAACATAATTAAAATCATGGTCCATAAAAGTATGGTGACAAAACTTATTGTGTTGATCAAAAACTTATTCCCAAGAGAAATATTCGTTTCTGATTGGCTGGACTAAGATATACAGAAAAAAAAGTCCTCTAAAACCCGAGATGGAAAAGTTGAGATCCGAAGTGAATTGGATTTCTTTTTAACTTGGACTAAAATGTCATTTCTGCCTTTCGTAAAAAAAGAAAAAAATTACACATTTTTTACTATCAGAGAAATCTGTGATTTTTGGGGGGAAAACATCAATTCTGACCTTATAAGAAAAAAAAATTATTTATTTAGGTATTTATTTTTATTTAAATATATATATATATATATATATTTATTTTTAGGATATAAAAACCAATAAATAAATAAATAAATTATTTATGTTAAAATTTAAATTTTACTTAAATGGAAATTTTTATTCTTTTAAAACAAAGGAAGAAATGAAATGTATATGACAAATTTTTCATCGTATATTATGAAAAGTATTTAACTAAATTAGAAAGTAAAAATAAAAGATTTAGATATTGTAATTTTGCAGTTGTGGAGGAAAAATAAAAAGTTTTTTCTTTGATGCCATAAAACACAATATATTTAATTATTTAAGAGGTTTTAAAAGTTGTGGTGCAGCTATAAACAGTAGAGATTAAACGTTTCAACGTTATGCTAGGAAAACATCAAACACACATACATTGTTAATGTTTAAAATTGCATGTAGGTAATTATATTTTTTTTATTATATTCTCGGTACTAAAAAAAAATTCCATTTGAAAAAATGAAGTTAATTATGTATTATTTACCAGAGTTGTTTAACGAATCATTATTATTATTATTATTATTATTATTATTATTATTATTATTATTATTATTATTATTATTATTATTATTATTTTATTAAAATAAAATTCAGAACTTGCCCCGTGTTGGGGTAACAGTTGAAAAAAGAAAAATTAAATTGTTACAAAATTAATAAGCTACCATTACTAATCTCAACGATTTACCTCTGTCGAAATTGTAACCGGAAACGGGGCAAAAATCTGACAATTTACAAATGATCTCATTTAAGATTTTCATGTATTAAGGGTAAGGAATATGAATCTCTATATAGGGGGAATTTTCGATACGTTTTTTAGAAATATTTCTTGATCGTTTTTTTTTTCCTTTTAAATACCCTTATATAATTCAGAAAAAAAATAGTGACAAAATAATAATGAAAATGCAGATTAAATATATAAATAAAAAAAAAATAAAAAAATAAATGAGAATTATCAAAGATTTGTTGAATTGGCAAAAATGGAATTTTATTACTTTTTTGTTCCCTCCATTTGAATCTGATGAAATCAATATATAAAGCGAAAAAAAAAGTTTATATACGAGAGAGTCAACATCTGAAGTCGATAAAACCATAAAAAGACACTGCGACATGTTAGAATGTTCTGGAATATTCTATAATAAATAATGTACATAAAGAAAATGATTTATTTGACCTTTTCAAGGAAAGAGATTTATTTAATTTTATTTAGATTGAAAAATTATT